TATAAAGAAAGCCTAAAGAATATTTTATATGTCTAAAAAGGATTCTATATACCCAGTATCTATAATTTTTCATTCTACAAGATAATATCTGTGAAAACTTAGCTGTCAATGTAGTCAGAAGTCTGATAAAGAGTAAACAACAATCTACAAGTTACATATTATTTTTAAAAAATAACAGTCCACTAGCCAACAGTTCCTGTGGTTTCTATGGTCTCTTGGGTGAAGTCAGTTTGGCTTCTAAGCGCAGAAGCCACAGGGCTTTTTTCTGTGGAATGAATACACATGACATGAGAAATGACTTACCTTGGTTTGACTTAGCTAAGTCATTTGACTCAGAGCATCCAGTCTAGCCCTCTGCATTTGTTTGTATACAAACCAGGCTGTATGTTCTAGGAGTCCGGTGTTCGTGTCTTCTGAAATTATCTTGGGTAACTGTTAGAGGCTTTGGGCATTCTACCAGCCATAAACTTAAAATATACGATTAGCAGATTTCTGACAAGAATGAGAGCCATAAGGATTGGTTGTAACTGAATAGAATTTAATAGCAGTAGTAAAAATCTATCAAGACAGAGCTTTTCCTATCCTGTCTTAAGTAACTTTGGCAGGTTGTGTAGGTAGAGAAAAGCACATTTTTGTATTAGCACAGAAACAATTTGGCTAAGCTGGATCGTACGGCTGGCAGGTTGGACTATGAGCCACAGTTGCCACAGGCGGGTCAGGTCTGCAGGCAGCAGCACGGTTGTAGGGCGGGACTTCCTGTTAGCTGCTGGAAGTCACTGCTCTGTGACTCTGGCGGCCGTATCACCACAATGTTAGTTTTTGTGGCGGAAGGCATTGACACTTTACAGGTCCCAGGCGGCAGGATGTAAGGGGAAAACCCAGAGCAGAGCTAAGAACCACAAAGGGAAGGGAACAGGTGAACCGGCGGGACCAGTCGCAGAGGCAAAGCGGGAGGGAGCAAGCCGGGTAGCCGGGTATTGAACTGGCTGGCAGAAAGCTTCCTCTTTCTTTCTTGTGGTTGGACTAACTCTGTCTTGTTTGGTTTTTAGCCCCATGGCTTATATTATTTTTCTCTTTCCTTTATCTCTAGCTATCTTTAAGTCTATCCCGTTAAGGTTTGACTGACTTTGAATGTGGCATTTGTTTCCTTTCCCATTGCTGCTGTGAAATACTTACCAGAAAGTTGTTGTACCTTAGTGAAGGGATCAGAGGAGGAGCTGGAAGGTTTGGTTTCCTAAGGTCATAGTTTCCTGTTGGAGCTCAGGCAAAAGTGATGGTTTCTGTTGTGTTTCTATGGGGTTTTGTGTGCATTGCGTGTATAGTGTGTATGTGTATTTCTTGTTTTGGTTTGGTTTGGGTTTTTGTTTAGTTGGGGAGTTTTGTTTTGTTTTGCCTGTTTGCCTTCTAAAGACAAAGAGAAAGAAAGGGGTGTAGAGTTGGGTGAGTGGGGAGGATCTGGGAGGAGTTGAGGAGGGGGGAAACCAAGATCAGAATATATTGAATGAAATTAGAAAAAAAAAAAAAAAAAGGAAATGGTCACTGAAGAGACCTGGAGACCTGGGGCCTTTAGAAACTGCTGTGATTGGTCAATGAGTAGAGGGTTAGAGGGTACAGGGTCAGAAAGAGCCTGGCTCTGGGTCACAGCATTTCCACAGGCAGAAGGGAACTTACTCTGGAAGATGTAGAAGTATTAAGACTTCCAACTTACAGGTCTCTCCTTCTGTCTCTGAACCTGTGGTGGGGAGTTAAGACTTGGCCTTGGGCCTTATGAGATTCATGGTAAGACTCTGGTCTTACGAGATATTTAGGGTTACTGTTTAATAAAATCTTACTTATCTATGTTACTAAAGTACACTTACTATGCCATAGTTGACCTGCTCTCTGGTATCCTCTGAAGCCAGAAATTGTAGTTTCTGTCACTTATCACCTCAGCCCAGAAGACAGCAGAGGATTTGGCAAATAGCCTTTGTACTCTCTCAGCAGGAGCTGCTGAGCTCTAACTTAGTTCTGCTAGTCTGAGGTTGGAGGAAGAAAAAACACTTAGAGAAGTTATTATAGAGTTTATTACTAAGTGTAAAAGGTTTCCTATTAAAGCTATCTAAGAGGAAAAGTGGAAAGGTTCTAAGTGGGGAAAAGGAAAAAATTCTAACAAAGGAAAAATTCTAAGTGGGAAAATTCCAAGCAGAGGAAAAGGAAAGGATGAACAGCTCCTAACGAATGACCCTTTTCTTTGTCTTCAGTACTTCATTCAGTACATTATTCAGAGTACATGATCACATGTTACAAAGTTCATCACAAGTTCACACCAAACTTCAAGTCATAAATTGAAATAGAAGTTTACAACAGAGAATGTTTACATGCATATCCATTAGGAGTAATTATCTGGCTAAACATTTATCACCTGTCTAGCTCCACAGGTTCACTGAAGGTTTAAAACTATAAGAAATTAGTGAAGTTTTGTATAGATAAACCCAGGCAATATTTTATCTTCTGTCCTAGCGCCTATAATAAATTGTGAGTTTCCTTTTAGTGACCTTTGGCTAATTGTTTTACAACCTCTTGGAATGTACTCTGAGCAGGTAAAAGTCTGGTTACTATCTAAGATCAATTAGCTGGTGACACTCAGGAGACTGGCAGAGTTCTCATTGAAGTTTTGACTATCAGCAAGGGACCTAATAGCAGTCCCACTATAAAAGAGCTTAATAATCATTGATATAATTTTAGGAATTCTTATAGGAGCATCATGAAGACTTAAGAAGTCATCTATTTGTCTATATAGGATCACTACAAGACAGTACATCTTCGTGGTTCTGCAGAGATCTGCACCAAAGGGGTGTACTATTGCTTGGTTATTGTTATATATGTTTAATAATAATAATAGGAAAAACATTTTAATAGCAGGAATCTTTCCTAAAATAAGTTCCTCACAGCCTTGCTGGATGAGGCCTCACTTGACACAGATTATATAATAATCCAAGGCAAGCATTTCAGGATGATCACCTCCTAATTATTAGCTTGTCCCATTATTGCTCCTGACAGCCTAGGTGCTGGAAGTAAATACTTGTAACATCATGCCAGCTGATTATCACTAATATTATTTTATAGTTAACACCCAGAAAAGAGGTTCTCTTTTTTTGTTTGTTTTCCTTGGAGACAGGATTTCTCTGTGTACCCCTGGCTGTCCTGGAATTCACTCTGTAGACCAGGCTTGCCTATACCTCTCAAGTGCTGGTATTAAAGGTGTGTGTCACCATCGCCTGATGGAATAGAGGTTCTTAGAGAAGGGGCTAGTCTTGAGGGTAGCTTTATTCTCACAAACCTGCTTCCCTCTAAGACATCGATTGCAGCTCTTGTCTTTGTGGGACAGAAGAATGATGAGGGTGGCTCATAAATCCAATGACTGGCATCAGAATGTCTTGAGAAGGCAGATGGGAACACCAAAGGGGAACAGCTACAAAGCCAAGGGCCTTGGGGATTCTGGTGACTACCACAAGTCAGAAAAGGTCAAGGAATGAACCATCAGAGCTTCAGTAGGGAGCACCACCCATCTGAAACCTTGATGGAAGAGCAGGGATATCCATCAGGAGGGTATGAGGTCATTGCAAGATTGGTAGCCGCAGGAAGAGACTGCCAATCCTAGGATTGAGAGGATCCAGGAGGAAAAGGTTGCCCTAACCCCAGAAGTGGTGTCAACTGTAGGATCAGAATCTATGTGCAGGCATGAAGGAAGAGCTGCAGTTACTCAGGAAATGCCAGTTCTGCTGAAATACCTCTAGAGAAGACAGATATACCACCTACCTTTCTTTCTGCAGACCTTCAACTTCCTACCAGAAGCCCCCACTGAGCAATCACAGAGGGAGCGATCGACTAGGAAGCCTGGATTGTAAGTGTGCACACATGCCCTGGCACCATGGGTCCTGGAGAAAAGCCAAGCAGGATATTTATATGACCATAACTCAGCCTGTGGTCAGCAGAGAATGGGGTGACACAGTGATCTCAGTGGACACTGATTATGGGAAACAGGCATGGGGCTCTACAGAGTAAGTCATCCACTGTCCTGACTACCACTTAGTTCTTTGAATAAATTTCCTTTAAAAAAAACATTTGAGGCTGGATATAGTGGCTCACTCCTTTAATCCCAGCACTCAGGAGGCAGAGGCAGGCCGATTTCTGTGAGTTTGAGGCCAGCCTGGTCTACACAGTGAGTTCCAGAACAGCCAGGACTATACAAAGAAACCCTGTCTTGAAAAGTAAAAAAATAAATTAATAAATTTTTAAAAAAAATTTTTGTTAGCTTAGTTTAGTTTGTAAACTGGGTGGCCAACCGCTCATTATGCTCTCTTTTGGACATTTCTAGATGATTGGAATAGTTTCTAAATTCTTTTTCTAAAAATAGTTCCTAAAGTAGTTTTCTATAGGAAAGAAAAAAGGTCATGTCCCAGGTTTATGGCAATAGTAAATGTTTTCATGTGCAGACTTCCCCATTTTCTGCCCCACTTCTCTCAAAGAATAGGCATCTTGTGAATTTTAAGGGCTATTAAACCAACAGCTTTGACCCTTTGGCATGATGGCGTATTAAAGGCAAGATGGAAGAGTCAAGAGAGTCGCGGGAGAAAGATGAAGGCCTCAAACAACCCTGAGGTCTCCTGAGAGTACCTTCCTTTGAAACTTGCTTTAGCCATGTTTAGAGCTTCAGCAGGTCCTCGGCTCCACCATGCCTCCATTTTCTCACTGTAAAATATGACTAATGAGAGTTGAACCCAATGAGTTCATCATTCAAAAAGAACTCTGGGGATTGGAGAGATGGTTCAGTGGTTAAGAGCACTGACTGTTCTTCCAGAGGTCCTGAGTTTAATTCCCACCAACCACATGGTGGCTCACAACCATCTGTATGGAGATTTGATTCCCTCTTCTGGCATGTAGATATACATGAAGATAGAGTACTCATACATAAAATAAATAAATCTTTAAAAAAAAAAGAAAGAAAAGCACGCTGACTATTGGAATGTCTATGACTATTGCTATTTTTATTATTTTATCTTTTTAATCTTCAGTGTTACTAGTATTCCTGGTGTCTGACAAACATTCAGCTGGGTCAAATTAGTGAGAAACATTGTCCTTTGCTGAGGTGCATTTTCCTGTGACAGTCTGCTTCTAGTTAAACACGAGAATTTAAATGCAGAATTATCCTAATGTGACAGGCCCGGTATGATCAATAGGCTTGTCAAAAATCATAGGAGTCAGGAGGACTGAGTTGCAAATCAGTGAAGAGTGTCCTCCAGGCAAGTGCATCGGTTGACTCAGCTTCAGTACTCCTCATGGAAAGGGAAGTCCTCGTTATGTCTTGCCCTGCAGTGACAAGCATGAAGAAGAAATTGTTCCACCAAAACAACAGGTATGATCTCAGATGCACTCTTAGGTGGTCTAGTCAGCCATACTTGTGCTCTCTCAGCCTCTTCTCCCATAAAACCATGAGAAAATAAGATGGCGGTGCATAGACCATGATCCTTCCCCTGAAGTATGAGACAGATATTTGAAGGGGGGCCTACAAGCAATCAGTGATGAGGTCACTAGTAAATTGTCGTCATGAGGGATCATAAGCAGGCAGACACACAGCTGGGGGCCTCAGAACCATTCTCTCCATTTATTCTCGGATTGTGGTGAAGCGGGAAATACTATTGAGATTGACAGATTGGCTAGGAATAGTAGATATGACACTAATATGAACAAAGAGTTTAAAGTGTCTGCTGTATGCTAAATGAGTATTCAGTGAAGGTTAGCTGTGATTAATATTGAAGATCGTCTCTTTGTAGATAAAGCAACTTGGTGACATCACCCAAACTACCCAAGGTCCCGTCACTAATGAATAAGTGGAAGAGTTTCAAGTACAAGCCAGCTAGTTTTACGTATGAGCCCTTCAGCCTATGACCTCACTCACATATCTAACTCCATGTGGCAATCCTACTTCACACCAAACAAACATCATAAATACATCTCAAGCACATTCCTGACTTCTCTTATATGAAGAAATTTCCCTAACAATAACCAAAAAAAAAAGCAAACAAAACCATATTTTAAAAAACAAATTGGCAAATTCAATAGCTGTTTTCCATTTATCCTGAATCTGATTTTCCTCATCTCTGCCCAGTGACTGTCATCTTCCTTGGATTATTATACTGCTTCCCTGTTGCTCTCAATGCAGAATTCAGTGTGATATTTTAAGACATGTTAACCCATGCCAGCCTCTGCCTAAAATCCTCTCCTAGCTTCTCTGTTTCTCCTGATATAAAATCAGTGTTGTTTTCATGGTCGATACCACTCACTGTAGGACCTAATGTGGTCCCTGACTTGCCATCTGCCTATAGTGCCCTCACTCACTCGGCCCCAGCATTATTGGCTTCCTTGTTCAAGTGCTCCAAACCTCTCCCATCGTGCCATTCACACTTGCTCTCATTGCCATAGATGCAGTTCCCCTAAATATGCACATGGCTTATCCTTCACTTCCTTCAACTGTGGCTTTGTCAGCACAGCTTCCCATGGATAGTCTGGTATCTATTACACAGGGCTCACTACTTCCTATACATTTTGCCCTACTTCACTTTTCTCTATGATATTTCTCACTCTCTGACAAATATAGATATAGATATGTAGATACATAGATATAGATAGATAGATAGATAGATAGATAGATAGATAGATAGATAGATAGGGATACAGATACAGATATAGATATAGATTGATATATATTCTGTAGAATATAAGACTGGGAACAGGAAGTTTGTCCTGTGATGTCCCTAATACCTAGAACATTCCTGGCCATAGTACACTGCAGGAAGTCACTGGAAAGGCAAACTTGACACGCACATAGTGGTGACAGCTCCTTTCTTTAAAATCCTCCCTCTGTGTGTAAGATCCAGAAACTGAGCATCAAATGACAATGCCTTTCCTCTCAGTGATTCCCCAGGATGCAAACTGTTTTTAACCTTTCACAACTGCCAGAAAATAGTATTTGAAGACAAAAACCATCCCATAATTCCACATTCCTTCCTACTAACCTTTCAACCTTAGAAAATGCCTGATCAAACTCCTACTTAACCTGATACTACTTACGCAAACAGGCTACAGGCCCTCCAGTTCCTGTTGAGACTGAGAATGGCAGCCATGTCCTCCTCACTCAACTGGAAGTCAAACACCTAGAAAGACAAGAGTTCCAAAACCATCCTTAGCAAGGAAACGGCTGGTGAGACCTGAGGTTCTAGGCATTTCTCCCATTATGTATACATTGCATCCAAATTATTCTGTAAATTACAACTAGGTTATTTAAGAGGGCTTGATGTTACACCAGCAGGGTTTGTGAGTATGCAAGTATGTGCAATGACTGAAATCCCTGAGGGGCCTGTCAGAGATATGGTCTTTCAATCCATTCTATCCTCTTCTGCACAAAGGTGGCCAAGTAGACCAAGACAGCCCATAGTTGACCAGAACAGTGTGTGGCCTGTGGTGTAAGTAGGGTAGTCAGAAATCTTTTCAGTGGAATGAAGCACACGTGTACTCCACCTGACAGGCTGTTGCTAGTGCCTGCCTCCAACCCATCCTTGACCCACAAGTAACTACTGCATCTCTGTTGAGACCAGCCTCCAAGCCTACGAGTTGATAAGGTAGATGGAAGAGGGGAAGACACACTGACAATGACAGGGTGAGATTAAAGCTTAAGGACAGAATCTTCTCTAAGCCTACTCAACTGAGGAATATCAGATAAACAGCCCAGGTCTTACCTGAATGTTCTCCTGTATTCGAGAGGGTGTCACAGATTTGGGGATCACCACCACATTCCTCTCTATATGGAACCGAATCAGAACCTGTGCACAAAGAGGGAAGAGCAAGCTTTCACTTACCTACATAGAACCCCTACTAGTGAGACAAATAATAAAATATATCTATACTTCTCTGTGGCTTTAGCTATTATTAGAGACACATGTAAGTCCTCAACTTACGCCCCCTGATTCTGGGAGCAACAGTCCAGTTTCTTTAGATAGGAAAATGGAGGGTAGCCTGTGGTCATTGACAGGCAACTGATGGACAGAGTATTTCTCTGTTGCCAGCTGTATTTACTTGAGATCCCAACAGACTTATATTTCTTAAGTCTTCCCCTCAAGCAGACTAAAAGAAGGCAATACAAACAAAACATAAGACTGTTGCCAGGTATTTGATCACACTGTAAACCTTGTGATTGTATTATTTGCTGGGAAAAAAACTGTTTCTTTTTGTGGTGTGGCTCAACCTTGCATACACCTTTAATCCAAGAACTTCTCTGTTTATTGTAAACAGGATTAAATAAGCTCAACCATAGGTCAAGAGGAGGAGCAAGCAACCAGTTGACAGAGAGTGAACATAGGAAAAAAAAAACATAGAGAGTAAGAGGAAGTCAGGAGGATAGAGAGACATACAGGAAGTAGAAGGGAGGGACATTCAGTTTGAAGAGTTTTCAGGAGGATGGATAGAGAGACATACAGGAAGTAGAAAGGGGGACGTTCAGTTTGAAGGGTTTTTGAGACACGCAGAGGAGAACTGCCTTTTGGTACATCAGCTGAGAAGAAAGGTCAACTGGATGCTTTCTTTGCCTCTCTGAGATAGCAGGCTTTTACCCCAGCACCTGGCTCCTGAGTTTTCATTGGTAAAATCGAATGATTGACATTTTGTTTTAAAAAAAAAAAAACACGTGATTATTAGAATAGATGTCTAGATAAAAAGGGAAAGGAGGAAATACTAAATTTTACCTGTGCTGCAGTTTTCTTGTGCTTTGCAGCAATTTCTTTGATCTTGGGAATCTCCAGTAATAGAGGGTCCTCTGGCTTGGCACTAGAGGCAGAAAAATGGATAGAGTGAAAATCACCATGGCTACTACATGCCTATGAGCATCACTGTCAGGGCAGTGTCAAGGCTGAGCACCACAGCCTCCTCCATCTGTGAGACAAACAGAAAAATGGAAAGCTTTGTGTCTATCCCGTGAGTCCATCTATGGGACCAGGAGCTTTAGAGGTTGGAAAGCGTGACCCAGCACTGCAGGACAGAAATGGCATGTTCTCTAAGCATCAGCCATGACCACTGTTTGTTTTTTTCCAAACATTATTTCAGTTGCCTTCCCTGTTGGGTGACCCAACACATTGACAGAGATAGACACGTTCTTCCCTGGGCCTTGGAAATTACATAGCAAAATTAACAAATTATGAAATGCCAATTTTAGGAGTGATAAAAGAAAGAGCCAGTACTCTGAAGCCTCACCTAGGCCTGTCTGGGGAGCCCAGGGGACTGTAGGCCGTGACAGTGATGCCCTTGGAGTGACAGTACTGGATCAGTTTCTCCTGGGTCAGGTAAGGGTGACATTCGACCTGCAAGAGAAAACATCTCCATCACTAGAGAAGCAAGCCTTCCTGAGTGGCTCAGCGGGAACTCCAGGCACAAGAAAGGACCAACACAAAGGCCAAACACAACCCACTGATAGATGTGCTACAAACCAGACCCAGAGACCTGCCTCCCACCTCCCTAAGCATCCTGAACACAGACCTCAGAGATGAGACTCTGCAGACAGTCTTGAACTTGCCTCCCAGTGCTGAAGCAGGCACGGAGCAGGACCCTGCACCAAACAGAATTTACCTGGTTGGTCACTGGCTTATGTTTCAGTCCAGGCTTGTTCAGGAGTCTTTCAATCTGGAAGTGGTTGAAGTTGGAGACGCCCAGAGCTTTCACCAGCCCCTGGTCCACCAGTTCCTCCATTGTCTGTCACGGGGAGGAACACTGTTTAGTTCTCAACCTTCCTAATGCTGCAACCCTTTGTACTCTTTCTCATGTTTTGATGACACCCAACCATAAAATTATTTTTAAATGTGGCTGCTGTTGTGAATTGTAATGTAAATATCTGATACATTACCCCAGTAAAAGGGACGTTCAATTCCCCCCTCCCCTCAAGGAGTCTCAACCCACAAGTTGAAAACTGATGATTTGGATGTCTGTAAGAGGATACAGGGATGCTGGGATGCAGGGATGCAGGGATGCTGGCGTGCTTAGTTCTTGGCAGGAGGAATGGCTCCTGGTTAAGTGAAGCACTAAAGGAGAATTTTGGTCTAGACTTCAGTGGACTCATGGTAGCTTCCAGCCCTCCTACTCTTCTTCCCTAGCTTGGATGTGATGAGAAAGGAGAAGGCAGGTTTCATGTACTTTCTGTTCTCAACTCATCCAAACCTGGTTTTCTAGGAAATAGGCCCTGGGCCAAGAATCACTCCTATTGGCTCTTTTGGGGGTGACATTGTAGATTGAACATAGAGCTCCTCACAAGCTAGACAAGCAATTCATAGCTGAACTATTTATTCCCCAGAACTTCTACATTTCATTTGAGATAGGCATCTCTCTAAATCAGATTGGTTTTGACCTTATTCAGCAGCCCAGGTAGACTTTGAGTTGTGAACTTCCTGTAGTGAGAGTTTTGATTCCTTTAAAAAGACAGTTATGTTGCGTAAATATGATTTTGTCTTAATCCCAGGTGTGGGATAAGAGAGTGCTTCATAGCAGGTGATTATGATTTCCTTCATGCACTAGCAGGGGTGTGATTTTTGCCACCTACAGATAGTTTAATTTTGTGGACTCTGGAGTGGGTATAGATGAGAGCGTCCCCAGAGGGACTGTGGAGGTGGCTGCTGCTCATCCCTGCTGCTCCTGGTTCCTGTTGTTGCAGTTTGTCAAGTGGTCATGAGCAAGGAGACAAAAAGAAGTTGGACATATCCCGACCTGACGAAGATTGGACTTGCCCCAAGGAACCCAATGTTCCTAATCAGTAGACAGTAGTGTAAAGAAATTTACACCCCCTTTCCCCTCTAATGTTCTCTCCCTCCTACCTAGTGTTGGAGGCTTGAAAGGTATCAGGGTGGAATAAGGGTTAGAAGGGAGGTATAAGAACCCAATTATTAATATATATATATATATATATGTGTGTGTGTGTGTATAAAATATATATATGTGTATATGTATATATCTATATATACATATGCATATATGTTAACAACCTCCTGCCTCTGCCCCCAACATAACTGTGATTCTCAGCTTAAACCCAGGCCTATCTGCTTATCTTAGTTGTAATTCCTCTCTTCCCTACCAAACACAGTTTGGTGTGCTTTGTGGAAGACCTTGAGGATATACAAACCCTGGTAGGAACAGCTCACCTAGAGCTGCAGCTGGGCTGAACTCTATCCTGTTAACTACATGGAATTAGCCAACACGGAATCAACCCAAAGATTTGGCTCTTTTTTTTTCCACCCACAGTGAACTTGTTCTAAACTTCCCCAAATTATCCAATCCTATAGTGGCAGCCACAAATATTGAAAATGAATTTATAATTCATTCATTATAAGTTCCTGTCCACTAGGTGCTAGAATATAAATATATACAATGTGTTTCCTAGTTGTGATTCTTGCAGCCCAATTCAAGTGCTAATGTTTCTGTCGATGAGCTAATGATCTGTCAGTCTCAGTGCTGGGCTACCTCAGCTTGCTCATCAGCTTGAACAGCATAGGCATCAAGAAGGAAAGGAAGGAACTGTTCGATCCCTGGATAGACATTAGAGGGAGAGTTTAAGTTGGGCTTGGAAAAATAGCATGAAGAAAGGTGGTAAAATTTCAAATACATTGTGAGGATGGGGAGCAAGGGCTTGAAGGCAGGGCCAAGCAGGGTGTGTTCAGCTGACACTGTGTAGTGTTCCCAATCTTGGATACATCTTGCACCCTCTGAAGGCTCTAAAAGAAATGAGTGTCCCAACTCTACTCCCAGGGCATCCTACTGATTTCCTCTGCATGAATATTACGATGTTCAAATAGCCCTGGAGATTTTAGTACCAAGGTGTGAAGTACCAGGGTGAGTGAGGAAGGACTTTACTAGGCAAGACAGTCAGTACTGATGACACCTAAGGGTCCCAGCATCTTCTCAGCAGGAACCAAGATAAATGGTACTCTGTGACCTGGGTCAGGTTTGAGTAGGTTTATGATTCATATTGATCTACTTATGCTTTTTTTTAAAAGGATTTATTCATTTATTTTATGTGAGTACATTGTTGCTCTCTTCAAACACACTGGAAGAGGGCATCAGATTGCATTACAGATGGTTGTGAGCCACCATGTGGTTGCTGGGAATTGAACTCATGACCTCTGGAAGAGCAGTCAGTGCTCTTAATGCTAAGCTATCTCTCCAGCCCCTATTTATGTTCTCTCTCTCTCTCTTTCTCTCTCTCTCTCTCTCTTCCTCTCTCTCTCTCTTAAAATATCCTTTCTCTATTATTAAATGTGGTCAATGAAGATTCTACTGGATTAGCTGTAGGTCCACAGCACCACCCCATGTTGACATATCTGGTCATGCTGGTATCTAATCAAAGCCTCTGACCTGCAGTGTTATATTCTCTCATTCTCTCTCTCTCTCTCTCTCTCTCTCTCTCTCTCTCTCTCTCTCTTCTAGCTACTTACCTACCTATCTGTGGTGATATGAATAACAGTCTCCCATATATTTGAATGCTTAGTCATCAGGGAGTGACACTACTTGAGAGACATTAGGAGGTGTGTCCTTGTCGTACTAGATGTGATCTTGTTGGAGGAAGTGTGTCGCTGAAGATGTACTCTGAGATATCAAAAGCCCATGACCAGCATAGAGTCTCTCTCTGGACCAGTGGATCAGGATGTCACTCTCTGCTACTTTTCCAGCACCATTTCTGCCAGTGTGAAGCCATGTTTGCTGCCATGATAACAGATGAAGCCCCTTAAACTCTAAGCAAGCCCTCAATTAAATGCCTTCTTTATAGTAGTTGTCTTAGTCATGGTGTCTCTTCATGGCAATAGAATACTGACCAAGACTATCTATCTATCTATCTATCTATCTATCTATCTATCTATCATCTGTCTATCTATCTATCTATCTATCTATCTATCATCTGTCTATCTATCTATCTA